GCGGGTGGTGGTGGTTCCTCTGGCGAAGTTAACGCAGGAGATCTCCTCGAAGCGCAGGTGAACCGGCGGCTTGTGCACGTAAATGAAGCCTCGCTCCAGAGGATACAGCAGCCCTGAGCTCGCCTTATACGCACACGTTATACACTGAGACCTCGAGTGACTATACACACACACACACACACACACACACACACACACACATACAGAGATAAAGACTGACTTAAGTAACAACTTCAAAATGAGCTCAGCTTCTCATCTTGACACACAATATGTGACCCTGGACCACAAAACCAGTCATAAAGGTAAATTTTTCGAAATTGAGTTTTATACATCATCTGAAAGCTGAATAAATAAGCTTTCCATTGATGTATGGTTTGGACAATATTTGGCTGCGATACAACTATTTGAAAATCTGGAATCTGAGGGTGCAAAAAAATCTAAATATTGAGAAGATCATCTTTAAAGTTGTCCAAATTAAGTTCTTAGCAATGCATATTACTAATCAAAAATTAAGTTTTGATATATTTATGGTAGGAAATTTACAAAATATCTTCATGGAACATGATCTTTACTTAATATCCTAATGATTTTTGGCATAAAATAAAAACCTATAATTTTGACCCATACAATGTATTGTTGGCTATTGCTACAAATATACCCCAGCGACTCAACACTGCTTTTGTGCTCCAGGGTTATATATATATATATATATATATATATGAGAACTAGGTGTGGATAACAAGCAATATATAACCACAATATTTGGTGTAAAAAAGGGTGCGCGATATTTATAATTTACAATAATTTCATAATTGTTGTTTTAACGATATGCGAGCGCACACCGAGTCAAACAAACATCAAAAAAACAATCTCGAGTCCAAAAGCTTTCGCTGCATGATGAAGCCCATCACATACAGTAGAATGCTGTTAAAATGACCCTATAATTCAAGTTACGAAAGCAAAAAAATATCCCTGTATGTTTTTGTTTTTTTATATATTTTAAAGTAATGATACTTAATATCACACAAGCAACAGTGCTGTTTTCCTGAATATCTGCGCGATCGCGAACGTGATATTTTATACCACAGTTCAACAAACTAGAAGTTAATTGAGTGAGTTATATTTAAGACAAAACATTGTGTTTTGCCAATAAAAAAAATTCCAATCAAAGCAGGAGCTGAAAATCTGGGTCTCAGATCAACACTACGATGTTTCATTCCTGAATGAATCTGCTTTTGAATGAATCATTTGAGTCAGTGATTCAATGATCCATTTATAAAGACTTGCTTTGTTTCTGAATGAATCATCTGCTTTGAACGAATTGTTTGAATGAGTGTTTTAAGTGCATCACTCATTAAGACAGGGACTTGCTGCCACCTACTGGCGGCTTAAGTGTCATTTATCGACGACAGGCCCAAACCAGCCAAAGTACCAGCACAAAATCAAAAACATTGTGCAACTATTGTTATCGAAGGAAAAAAAATGTAATAAAAAAAATTGGATCAATATCACACACACCTAGGAATAAAAACATTTAATATATTTTTTAATTTTTATATATTAAAAAAAAGAAAAATTATTATATGACAAAGACCAAATCATTGAGAAAGGGCCTTTCTGAACAGGTTATTCCTCATTTTCTCTCTAAACGTAAACTGACTGTAACGGCTAACTGCTCCCATTCAGCTGTGCTTTGCTCATCTAGTACATCATCCACCCCTAATGAGAAACATAAAAAGTTGAGTTTAATATCTTTACAAGCGCATCTGTTTGTGAGCTTTACCCCTGGAAGTTCCCGGGCACCGTGATCTTCCTGTTGACCAGAGCCTTCATGACCCTGCTGACGATCTCGTAGAGCGGCCCGGACATGTTCTTACTGAGCTTGCCTTCATAACGCTTCTCCACCTCATCCCTAGAGAGGACAGAGACAGATCCAGTCAGCAAAGCTAGCGGCGGTGAACCTCGGACAGACAGAGAAAGCCCAGCGTACTCACTCGCTCATGTTCAGAGCAAGACTGAGCTCTTCATCTTTGGAGAAGAGGAGGATGAGGAAATGATAACGCGTCTGACCCTGTTTAATGGGCGGGTCGAGACTGATCTGGAAAACAAAAACATTCAGACTTGATCAAGAACCACAAAGCAGCATTTTTATAAATGTGACCCTGGACCACAAAACTAGTCATAAGGGTCAATTTTTATTGTCATGCATCTGAAAGCTGAATAAATAAGCTTTCCATTGATGTATGGTTTGGACAATATTTGGCTGAGATGCAACTATTTGAAAATCTGGAATCTGAGGGTGCAAAAAAATCAAAATATTGAGGAAATCACCTTTAAAGTTGTTCAAATGAAGTTCTTAGCAATGCAATTACCAATCAAAAATTAAGTTTTGATATATTTACGGTAGGAAATTGACTAAATATCTTCATGGAACATGATCTTTACTTAATATCCTAATGATTTCTGACATAAAATAACAATGTATTGTTGGCTATTGCTACAAATATACCTGTGCGACTTATGACTGCTTTTGTGCTCCAGTGTCACAAATCATCTGTAAAGATTTACTGAATAAAACCTGAGATTCTGCGTTTAACCAGCAGGAGGCAGCACACCAATGCATTATTGAGCACGGGACACAACAGGCATGTTTACATGCACTCATTTTTATCAATACAAATAAATCCAATTCTGTTTATACGCATTAGGGGTGTGTGATATTGACAAAAATAAAGGTGTCTCGATATTGGGATTTTTTTCTAGAATGATAATTAAACTGTTTTGCTAAATGGGTTTTTGTCCTTAGCTGGTTGAGGCCTTTAGAAACAGATGTCTTTATGAATGGATCACTGAATCATTGAGTCAAATGGTTTGCTCAAAAACAGATTCATTCAGGAACGAAACACTGCAGTGTTGCTCCGAGACGCACAAATGTCCAGCTCCGACTTTGATCAGAACTATTTTCATTAATGAAACAGAAAAAAACAGGCAATATTGTGTGCAAAAATGCAACTCGCTCGATATTAACTTCTTGTTAGTTGAACTGCTGTATAAATGTAATAACATATTTGCGATTGTGCTCACAGGCTAATGTTTAGGAAAACAGCTTGTGTGATATTACATAACATTATCATATCTTAAAAATAAAAACTTTTACATTTTTTTTTACATTTAGTAGATGCTTTTATCCAAAGCGACTTACAAATGACAATGGAAGCAATCAAAATCAACAAAAGAGCAATGATATGCAAGTTCTATAACAAGTCTGCTGTTTGCTTTCGTAACTTGAATTATAGGGTCATTTTAACCGTTTTCTAATATGCTTCATAATGCAGTTAGTGCTTTTAGACTCTCAAAGACTGTTTATACAAGCTTTTCGATGCTTTAAAGCTTAATTTGTTCCTGGTAATATGATTATTTTAGGTCTATACAGCAATGATTGACATGATTTTCAAGTTGTCAGTCTGACTGAGCCATCAAACCAACTCTAAACGATCATTTGAGTGCATGTAAACACAGGAGGCATTAGGTGTAGTTTGTCTTTGTTGGTGTGAATCACACAAAACTCACCACAAAGAACATCTGCCTCTGGTCCTTGTGCGGCAGCAGGAAGAGCCGCAGGACGGTGGTGTAGGGGATCTTATAGTCAAACGTCTTCCCGTGCAGGTGCAGGAAGGTGGGGTAGATACGGATGTCATACCTGAAACACAGACACTAACGCACTCAGACACAAGTCTCAAACACAGGCCACGTGCATCATAAATCATTCATTATTTATGTACGTTTGAATAAAGAGGTTTTATGAAAACTACCTTACATGCAACTGAGCTGTATACAAAAGGTTTTATTTGAATGCAGTTGATATATTATCTCAGGGCTCTACAGTGCGACCGAAAACTACTGCGTGCGACTGTGAAATTTTGGAGAGCAACAGCGACTCATCTTAACCATATATGTGATTGCGCTCAGGGGAGCTTCAAAGGTTTCTACGTGTTTTTGCAGCATTGAGTAATGCATCACAGACATATCTCACGAATCCTTTCATAAGCAAAGTGTAGACAGGGTGTAAATAAGAGATTAATTGCGCAGTGTAGAGAGCGTTGTTGATTATAAATGTGAGATCGCGATGAACTAAGATGAGTGACAGCTTTTAATGATGATGAGTTTGTAAATGTGATACTGATTTAATACAACAGTTCAATAAACAAGAAGTTAATATTAAGTGACTTACATTGTCTGACTATAACACCATGATCTGATTTTGCTCTATTTCGTGTCGAAAATAGTTTGAAACAAAGACACAGCGGAGCCGCTGCGCATCTCCATTCAAACACAGCGGTGTTTAGTTTATGAATGAACTGCGTTTTTAAACGAATCTAGTGAGTCAGTGATTCATGATTACCCATTCATAAAGACAGTCACTTGCTTCGTTCCTGAATGAATCAGTGGTTCGAATGAATCAATTGAATTAATGATTCAGTGATAAAATCAGTGACTTGCCGCCACCTGCTGGCAGTTTTAGTTTCATTTTTAAAGTATCTTTTCAGTTATTTAAATCATTTAATATTTCTATATTCAAAATTATATATTTAAAACATCTCATCATGAATGTATGGATTTAATTGCACTCATGCCACCTCTGAGCCTCATTAAATGTCTGAAAATACACCAACAAGCCACTTGTGTGTCACCTCTACAAAATAATTTTGTTAATACTGATTTCATTTGATTGGTAACTTATGTTTCTTATTCTACTTGTTCTTATTCTGTCGTTTTAACTACAATTTTTAAAAAGCTTATAAAATGTAATTTTTAAAGAATTTGACAAAAGATGACATGCTTTTAATAAAGTTAGAAAAATGCCACTACAAAGGTAAAAACAAAATTCCCCTGTAAATCACTTTAAGGAGTCAAATATCAATCACCTCGTAATGTGAAGGCTAATTTTTGATAAAATTTCGGATTGATTAGAAGGTGCTCCTAAAATTGTGACCGTGCTCCTACATTTTTTAAGTTAGGAGAACAAGTGCTCCTAAAAGAAAAGCAAGCGTAGAGCCCTGTATCTGAAAATAAATAGCATTGAATATAATAGTTTTGTTGTTAATTTTAATCTCTAATATGTGACCCTGCAGCACAAAAGCAGTGTTAAGTCGCTGGGGTATATTTGTAGCAATAGCAACAATACATTGTATGGGTCAAAATTATTGATTTTTCGTTTGTGCCAAAAATCATTAGGATATTAAGTAAAGATCAAGTTCCATGAAGATATTTAGTAAATTTCCTACCGTAAATATATCAAAACTTAATGTTTGATTAGTAATATGCATTGCTAAGAACTTCATTTGAACAACTTTAAAGATGATTTTCTCAATATTTAGATTTTTTTGCACCCTCAGATTCCAGATTTTCAAATAGTTGCATCTCAGCCAAATATTGTCCTATCCTAACAAACCACACATCAATGGAAAGCTGATTTATTCAGATGCTGTATACATCTCAATTTCACTGGTTTTGTGGTCCAGGGTCACATATTATGTAGCAAATGAGAGGGTTCCCATAGAGTTTACAGCATTAGTTAAGATATTTTTTTTCTTTAATAAAACTAAACTATCGGTATTGAGAAATATCATTCTGAATAATATTGTACATTTTGCATACAAACATTTGGTAGTTTTGTGGGTTTGTAATGACATGAAGATGAGTAAATTACATTTTTTGATGAATTAACGCTTTAACAACTAATCAACCAATCTGGCAAAAGAGGTGTATAGTTGTGTCACGGATGCTTTAAAAACACAAACTCACCTTCCTCTGGGTGTAAGGCACTGAAGCTCTTTAAAGACGCACACAGCGTCTCCGGTAGCCTGGATGACATCTGCCTTCGACAGAACATTCTTAGCGAACGCCTGCGACAGAGAGAGCGAGAGAGAGACATGATCATCACACACACACACGTCTAGTTTACCATGCCTGCGGGGACTCTCCATAGGCATAATGGGTTTTCTACTGTACAAACTAGAGCTGTACGATATATCAAAATTATCAAAATCTCAAATGTAAATATCGCGATATGCATATCAGAATCATTTTATTAATAGGCTTATTATTATCTTATTAATAGACACACATACACAATTGTCAAACTACCCGTCTCGACAATCATTCTTGTAAACACAGTCAGTTATGCTTCACTGTAAAGCTGCTTTGACAATCTGTATTGTAAAAAGCGCTATATAAATAACGGTGACTTGACTTGTTTAAATGAATGTAAACAGTGGAGAAAGAACTCGGATGTGTATCATTACACCGAACCCGTGCAGTCGGTCTTAAAGGGACAGCAGCCTATAAACACGTACTGTTGTTAAGCACAGCTTTAACAAAGATTAGTCTACATTTAATTCATACAGTGAACACTATGTAGTGTTAATTTACACTTATTACACTTCTGTACCTGAATACTACTGTTAGACCTCATTTTATTTCTAACTGTTATATTGTATTTATCTATGCATGTAATTTGTGTATTTGTTTTTTTTGTGTGTTCACTTGCCTTTAATCATGTTTGAACTTTCTTAGGCTATAGTTTTTACTGTGGTCTTGAAGAAGCGCTTGGTGTACTTTAAGTAATAAACGGAAAACAAAGTTACATTGATATAAAATAAGTGGCATTACTTTTCTTGTTTGTTTCTTCACACTGATGTTAAAATTACATTTTCAGAGTTGTAACATAACTTATGTAATGCTAAAACACTGCTGGTCACTTTCAGAAGTTGTAGCTTTCTTTTCCAAGAAAGAATGTGAAACATATATTGGTTATTGTGACCATGGAGCACAAAAGCAGTGTTAAGTCGCTGGGGGATATTTGTAGCAATAGCCAACAATACATTGTATGGGTCAAAATTATAGATTTTTCTTTTATGCCAAAAATCATTAGGATATTAAGTAAAGATCATGTTCCGTGAAGATATTTTGTAAATTTCCTACCGTAAATATATCAAAACTTAATTTTTGATTAGTAATATGCATTGCTAAGAACTTCATTTGGACAACTTTAAAGATGATTTTCTCAATATTTAGATTTTTTTGCACCCTCAGATTCCAGATTTTCAAATAGTTGTATCTCAGCCAAATATTGTCCTATCCTAACAAACCATACATCAATGGAAAGCTTATGTATTCAGCTTTCAGATGATGCATAATTTAGAAAATTTGACCCTTATGACTGGTTTTAAATAGGTCCAGGGTCACATTTTAATTTTTAATCAGCCAAATATTGTCCTATCCTAACAAACCATACATCAATGGAAAGCTTATGTATTCAGCTTTTTTTAATTCAGAAAATTTGACCCTTATGACTGGTTTTGTGGTCCAGGGTCACATTTTAATTTTTTATTATTTTAAAATATAATTTAAATAGATTTCACACACTTAAAGCAATATCGTATTGCACATCGAATATCACATTATTTAACAAGGTATTGCATTTTTCTTCAATATCGCACAGCCCTATATATTCTATCACCCTATACCAACTCTACACCAAAACCTACCCCTCACAGCAAACCTTGCATTTTTACATTCTCAAACTCATTCTGCAAGATTTATAAGCTTGATTACCTCAATTTAGGTCCCCACAGTGACAAGTCCCTATGAGTCTGTGTATTCAGGTTTAAGTCCCACCGGGATAAAAAAACATGTACACACGGGTTGCACCGACTAGTCGACTTTAATGCTCTGCCATGACGCTTTAAGCTTGACGTCGACTAGTCGCTGGTCCTATAGAAGGCGCAACAGGATAAGAAATCTTTGAAGGACTTCCACATTTACGCTCCGTTTCCAAACAGTTAAAATGACAAATAAATGCATACTCTGAAAGTGCTCCACAAGACGTGTGTGATTATATTACTGGATGCTCGAAATTGAATAGGAGAATACACGTTTTAAACAGCTTATTGTGCAGGTAAGTTAATCGCCATTCTAATCTAATGCGCTGCTGCACTGTAACGCACACACAGGCTACAGACAGTAGCTCGTACATCACGCACACATCGCGCGCACACAGAATCATTCAGCGTGGAAATGTACCGTCAACACGGTTCTGTGATTTCTCAAAATAGCTTAGAAACTGAAAAGTTCAAGCATATATTTCTAAATCCCACAGCTTCACTACTAGTAGAGAGACGCTGCCAGGTAGAATTAATTCAGAAATGCAATCGCTCTCAATAATGCATTCACATGAATGTAATCTTTACTGTGCTACTTTATGTGTATCTGATTTAGAACAAGCAGAAATCTGTGAGAAATATAACGACCCAAAGACAAAAGAACTGATAAAAAAGCTGCTATAGGAGCAATAGCCATGTGGGCAGCTCTGTGTCATATGCCATAGCTGTGCAGAAGGGGTTTGAGTCTCAGCTCCAGGTTCAGGCTTATTTGTTCATTAATGACATCCTCAGCAACTAGTCGACTCGACTTTGATCACATAAAATCAACTTAAAAAAAAAATCAGAAGTCGTTCAACCCCTAACACACACACACACACAATCACACACACATACCTCCACAGGGTCCGAGCCGTCGTCTCCGGTGTTGGGCGGGACATAGAAGCGGACCTCCATGAGAGACACCTCCGCGTCGTCATTCTGATGAAACTCCACCGTCACCTCGTTCTTCCCCGTTGCACACTGGGATACGCCGGACAGCGGGATCTCGAAGACGGGACTGTCGCTCACATCAAACGACAGCAGAGACCCTGAGCGCAGACAGAAACAGGGACCATGTCATAGAGGGCAAATTCAGTTTATTTTATTATTTTAGCCTCAGTACATGACAATTTACACTAGGGCTGTCAAAAAAAATTTGAATTTCAATTATTAAAAAAAAATTACAAAATTCGAATGCAAAAACGTTGCATCGAATTTTAGGTCTGCATCAGCCGTCAGGCAGCCTTATCAGTGGGGCACGAGATGCGATGACGATGTAGTGTCATTGCATTTGAATGCTTTTGTACGCCTATCCAGTTGAACCCACTAGATGCGGCGCTGCTACGTTGTTCATTCAATATATTGCGGAAAACGAGAGCATCAGTGTGGAGATGTTGTTTACGTCAAAACTGAAACCAAGCCGTTCACACAGTACGCATATTTATCTCATTTTCTAGAGGGACATCTATCAGCGTTGCACTCGCGTCTCGCACAAGAGAGCGCCATGTTTAGAAAGCCATGTAAAACTAATTTAAGTTCAACTTTTAAAAAACATCAAGACTTTATGGCGGTTTTTCCCCATCCCACAGCATCTCAAGTTTTTAAATGAAGAAATAGCCTACTTTTGTGATTGTTTTCGGTTCTTTGTATTAAACTATGCATGGTGCTGTTTTGTTTTTTCTAATTGTTTAAGCAACTTAAACATTATTTTATGTTTAAGTTTCTTGACCCAGTCATAAGGGTCAAGAAACGTGCATAATATTTTGCTCGATGCGCCCTCTTGTGGCCTCAAGAGAGAAGCCAAAATCTTTTTTCCCCCTAACTGAAATTATGCCTTTTAAATTCTAATATAAATCGAATTTTGATCATATTTAAGTAGAAAATTTGAATTCAGTTTTTCAGTCATTTTGACAACCCTAGAAAGTTAAGAACAGCATTTATTTGAAATATAAATATTTTGTAACATACATTTTTTACACTCACTTTCACTTTTGAAAATTAATTACCCTACTAATTTTGATAAACAGTTTATTAAGCAGTTAATATATTTTGATACCTGATTTAATGTAAATACATTTTTTTTTAAATTTTAATTTACAGTGGAGTTATATATTGGTTGTATTTTTGTTTATTTATCTTTATCAGTCAATAGTAATCATATCTGTCTGCATTGTATATAATTTAATGTAACCTTTAACAAATTTCAAATGTAATATCTACTTTATCATACTGTACATTATAAAACTGACTTGTTGCATTTAAAATGACTGATTTTAGTATTTACTTATTTTTAACAAGGCAGCATAGAAAGAATTTTCATATCGGTCATTTATCAGCCATAACATAATAATTAGTGGATTTTTATTGGACAGGACTTTAATCTCGTGCACTGAGTGAGTGAGTCTGAGTGAGTGAGCCTGTCTGTTTGTTAGTGAGTGAGTGAGTGAGTGAGTGAGTGAGCCTGTCTGTCTGAGTGTGAGTCTGTCTGTCTGTGTGAGTGAGTGAGTGTGCCTGTCTGTCTGTGTGAGTGAGTGTGAGTGAGCCTGTCTGTCTGTGTGAGTGAGTGTGAGTGAGCCTGTCTGTCTGTGTGAGTGAGTGTGAGTGAGCCTGTCTGTCTGTGTGAGTGAGTGTGAGTGAGCCTGTCTGTCTGTGTGAGTGAGTGTGAGTGAGCCTGTCTGTCTGTGTGAGTGAGTGTGAGTGAGCCTGTCTGTCTGTGTGAGTGAGTGTGAGTGAGCCTGTCTGTCTGTGTGAGTGAGTGTGAGTGAGCCTGTCTGTCTGTGTGAGTGAGTGAGTGAGTGAGTGTGAGTGAGTGAGCCTGTCTGAGTGAGTGAGTGACCGTCTGTCTGTGTGAGTGAGTGAGTGAGTCTGTCTGTGTGAGTGAGCCTGTCTGTCTGTCTGAGTGAGTGAGTGAGCCTGTGTGTGTGTGTGTGAGAGAGTGAGTGAGTGAGCGAGCGAGTGAGTCTGTCTGTCTGAGTGAGTGAGTGAGTGAGTCTGTCTGAGTGAGTGAGTGAGTGAGTGAGTGAGTGAGAGTGAGTGAGTGAGTGTGAGAGTGAGTGAGTGAGTCTGTCTGAGTGAGTGAGTGAGCCTGTCTGTCTGAGTGAGTGAGTGAGTGAGTGAGTGAGTGTGAGAGTGAGTGTGAGAGTGAGTGTGAGTGTGAGAGTGAGTGTGAGAGTGAGTGTGAAGAGTGAGTGTGAAGAGTGAGTGTGAAGAGTGAGTGTGAAGAGTGAGTGTGAAGAGTGAGTGTGAAGAGTGAGTGTGAAGAGTGAGTGTGAAGAGTGCGAGTCTGTGTGTGAGAGTGTACCTGTGAATTTGGCAGTGCCCCAGTTCCAGCCCTTCACACACATGTCCTTCTCCGCCAACTCAACCTTGTAGTTTGTTTTAAAAAATGCTGCGATTTTCTCAAAATCCTGCGGCAGGGAGGAAAGAGTGAGAGAAAGAAGAGATAAACAGAATTAATGCCTCACTTCCCCTGACTCTCTCTCTCATCCAGTCGTGGGTTCATTAATAAAGCGAGTTGGCGGCGGCGCTCGGCCTTCTGGGATGGCAGAGGTGTGTGTAATCCGGCCGGAGGCTGATGCGGAGCACGCTCAATCAGCCTGTTTATTTATCCAGCGCTGCACAATCGCTTCCACATGTCACTCCACCAGGTGTGTGCGAGTCCATCTGCGCGCTAACGAGCTTGGCACTGCTTAGCGAATCCCTCACGATCACATTAACATCACACAAACCCGCAACTCTCACACACAGCTCGCCCTGATCCTCAAAACATGGCTTTCTTTCCCTAAAGTAAAGACGGAACAATGACGACGCTGTTAAAGTCAGCAGTTAAACAATGCACAGCAAACAAACATACTGCATGCTCATGTCAACTCGGTCTACAATACATGTTACAGATTCCTCCGGAGTTACAGTGCACTGCTTAATAATAAACTTGTCATGTTGGTGGTGACACCTCTCTTGCAACATGTTTAACTATCACAGATATCATACTTAGCTTTTTTGGCTTCTGATCGCAAATGTAGCCAAGTATCCGATTCTGGAATTTAATTTTCGATTCCCAACCCTATTTAGGACTGGGCGATAAACGGTATCATATCGAGATTGCAATAAAATTGTCAATAACCATGAGCTCTAGACATTTTTACTCGATATGGATTAATCTAACAACAGAAATAAATGTTAAAGCAGTCAGTGCATGTCGCCAAGATGCGAGATTGTGCTGTATGAATGAATGGCGTGATTTCGTCTGATGCAAACTAAAAAAAGTTACATAATCCTCGCTGTGTTTTCAGCGTCTGCATCTCAATATATGAGACATGAACCGCTCTGAGAGTCACTTCAGCAGCTTTACTGTGATTCATTTGAGAGAAACTACGTCAAATACACTGAAACTACAACTGAAAGACCTTCACGACAACCCGTCAAAACTGAAGTCCACTTTAACTTGAAATTATGACTAATATATATTTCTATTGTATGACTAAATAAAATTCTCAAATAGTATTATTTTTGAACAAAGTAGGGGTGTGCGATATTGACCAAATTATATCTCGATATTTTCTGGGATTTATCGATAACGATAAATAGATGATATTTTGCTGAGTGTGTTATTGTGCCGGTATCTTAAGGACTGCCAAAGACAGCTGACTCCTAATGTTTTTAATATTCTGTGTGGTGGTCGGTTCATACTGATAGAAATTCATCTTTTCCAATAAGTTTAAACTGATTTTTGCATTTTTACCTTTATAAAGCCATTTTTTCTAAAAGTGTCCATTATCTTTTGAGTCAAATTCATACATTTAATCAGGGAATTAGAATAGTAAGACATATGGGCTGTTACCGAGCAAATTAAATCCACACAGACGCTGCGTCTGAAGCGGCATTTAGATGTATTTACACACATGTATTTTGTTTAATGCAAGACATGAATGCTTTTAACCTGCAATTACAAATGCATAAATAATGTTTTGATATATTAAACATAAAACGTTGACTACTGATATCTGAAATGATTTAAAACATGAAAAAAAAAAAGCCGAAATTAAAACCGCCAGTAGGTGGCAGCAAGTCACTGTTAATAAGTGAGTTATTGCGATTGAACCGAATCATTTAAACGAGTGATTCATTCAGGAACGAAACACCGTC